CAGAAGAGGATGAGGAACTCCTTGGTCCTGAAGTACCCTATCTCAGTGCAATTGATGCACTAATATATCTTGCTAATGCTACAAGGCCTGAGATAACATTTTCTGTTAATTTACTAGCAAGATATAGTTCTTCTTATACACGGAGGCATTGGAACAGGATTAAGCATATATTGCAATATTTAAAGGGAACTCTTGATATGAGTTTGTTTTATGCTAACAAAGATAGTGCAGATCTTGTTGATTATGCAGATGCAGGTTATTTATCTGATCCCCATAAAGCTAGATCTCAAACCGAGTACGTGTTTACATGTGGAGGTACTATCATATCATGGCCCTCCACAAAGCAATCTATTGTTGCTACTTTTTCAATTCATATTGAAATAATAGCTATTTATGAAGCAAGTAGGGAATACGTATGGTTGAGATCAATAATTCATTTTATTCAAGAAAAATGTGGTTTGGAATGTGAGAAAAGACCCACAATTTTATACAAAGACAATGAAACATGCACAGCCCAATTGAAGGGAGGATTTATAAAAGGAGATAGAACGAAGCACATTTCACCAAAATTATTATACACACACGATCTTCAAAAAAATGGTGATATTGATGTGCAACAACTCCGTTCAAGTGACAATCCGGCAGATTTATTCACTAAATCTTTACCAACTTCAACTTTTGAGAAGATGGTATACAAGATTGGAATGCGGAGACTCAAATATTTGAAACAAGGTTTTCATCAGGGGGAGTAAAATACGCGATGTACTCTTTTTTTCTTACTAAGATTTTTTCCCACAGGGTTTTCCTTATAAGGTTTTTAATGAGGCAGCTAGAAATGCATATTACTAAATATGTGTACTCTTTTTCCTTCACTAAGATTTTTCCCACTGGGTTTTCCTAGTAAGATTTTAACGAGGCACAATATCTTTTAATGAACATCCAAGGGAGAGTGTTATGAAAATAATTATATTATGGATGTCCATTTATTACTCCGCTATAGATAATCTTCCTGAAGAAGATTATCCATTTAGTACTCTGTTAAAATTTATCTACAAACAGCTGATGCAGGCAGATTGCAAGTAGCTCAATGAAATGATTTGCAGCAGCTTCTTATTAAACAGGCAGGTTGCAAGCAGCTCATGCAGACAGCTTACAAGCAGCTAAAGAAAAGCCTTTCAGCTGCTTCCTGAAAAGCCTCGCAGCTGCTTCCTTTCTTCTATAAATAGAGGAGTTTTCAGTTCATTATGTACATAAGTTTGAAGTTTGAATAATATATCAATCTCTTTCTATACTTGTATTCGGTTTATTTATTTTACAGTTTTTATTTTATAACATACATTAGAATAATTACACAAAAAGAGTAAAAAAAAGCAACAAGAATAGTTACACATGAAGTTCAAATAATCTAAATGTTAGAGCAAACGAAGAGATATTATGTTGATATACCATTTATGTAATTCAATTAGGAGCTACTAGAAAAGGCTAAAGGTCTATAGTATCTAAGAAAAAATTGATTGCACGTATGGTGCTCCGGCTTATATGGTTGCAGTCGTGAATACTAGAATTTTGCTACATAGTGTATCCTAATATGATGTCAATGGAGTTAGATTTAGGAGCCAAGATTCTATTTGAGATGTAAAAGATCTATGTAAATTTACATAGCTTTTGTAGTTTTTTGTTTGCTCTCGGGCTTAATTTAATTATACATAATCTTTTTGTCATTTTCACCCGATACATAGCATATGATGCCTATAATAGTTGACATGAGAATTTTACCATTTTCTTAATTAGAATTCTTATTGGCAGAGAACCGATTTTAAAACGTTTATGTGAAAATGAAATCAAAAATTGGATTTGTATAGCATATTGTTTGACAATAAATAGAAATTTCAAGACCATAAAATTTATAGTAAACAACAACTTGAACAGTAATGGATCACCTATGATGAGATTCAACTTGGCCCCACATTTTGCTAATTGACTTTGCACTTTTGAAGCTTCAATTTTTTGTTTAAACTAATCTATTTAAAGTGTTATTTTGACAAACAAAGAAAGATACAATGAAGAGAGTAATTGAAGAAACTTTATTGACATTCACATTATTTTCTTAACGAGTGAAATAAAAATAAATCAAAAGTTGGAACATGTCTGTGTTATGATTCGTTACGTGACCATCTTAATCTAACTCATTTTATTTCACGCCTCTATTAATTTGAAACCCACTCAAATTTAATCAAACTCATTCATTTTCACCTCAATTAAAAGGAAGGCAAAAATAGCCATTGAGGGAAGGATATGTCAGCTTTGGATGAGCCGTTTTCAATTCCCATGATCCTCCGCCAAATCTAGCCCACAAAATAAAGATGTGAAGACGTGGGCTGATCTTGTCCACTAACGTGTCGCCTTGTGATTTGTCTGTTAGTTAAACTATCAACTTATCAAGAGTTTTTGACTAAAATTATCCCGTTGTCTATTGTAATATGTTCATTTTTGTCCTTCAAATATAACTCAGAACATCTTTAATCCATTAACTTTGCTAAAGTAGAGTATCTTTAGTTTCACTAACAGAACCAACTTAAAAACTAACGGTTCTAACCCATGTGACACTCACGTGACTTTGTAAAATACCAAACCCACACGACCAATTCCATTCGCACTGTTCCCCCAACTCCATCCGCAAAGAAACCCATTGCCAAAAACCCTAGCCTCTCAAAAAAGCTTCGATGACTGAAACAAGAAGAGGACTCAAAGTGAAGAAGCTTATTTATTGATCTCCAGCAATAATTATTAGATGCCATGGTAGTGAAATACCCAATTATGGCAAGATTTTAGCAAGAAATTCTATTTGAATTTTCATCAAATTGAAGAAATTGTGATATATTTTTTTTTCTGTATGTTGATTCAATTTCTCATTCTTTAGTTTATTTAATGATTATTATATATATAACACATGACAACTTCAATTAGCTCTTATCATATAGCCCTAACAAAAGTTTATTTCTTTTTGACAGACCCTGCATGCGAAGCTTCTTTTTTAAGTATAAAAGTAACACATGGTGGTACGATGAAGCATCAACCTAGCAGATATTATCTTGGTGGTACGAGATGATTAAGCATATGAAGTTTAAACTAACTTTGTAAACAGAAAATATAATGGTTTGCACTATTGATTCTAATAAGTCATGCACATTAATTATAAGTTATTTTGATCGAAGAAATGAAGAAGCAAGAAAAAAAGAAAACGTGCCTCAATCAAGAAAGAAAGAAGGAGAGCATTGTTAGTTGAATTCTCTACATATGATAGTTAATTTATAAAGATATGTTTCCTACATTAATTACTCTTTGGGTAAAGGTGGGCTTGTCACTATTTTAAAGTTTGAACTAATCAAATTTTTTACGGAACCTATAAGGAAATCATTTGAGAAGCTTCAAGCAATCACCGTTAGAAAATTTGCCATTTTCGTTAGTTTTTAAGTTGGTTATGTTAGTGAGACTAAAAGTGCTCTACTTTAACAAAATTAAAGGATTAAAGATATTCTGAGTTATATTTGAAGGACAAAAATAAACCTACTCCAATAGATAAAGTGATAATTTTAGTCAAAAACTCAACTTATCAACTCTGACTTTCCATCATTTGTCTAGAGAAAATAACACCCGATGTGCCGCGCAAAAATGTAGGAAATATTTAATTCAGATTCAATGCATGTAAAATAAGAACGGCATGACATACTTTTATATACATCACCATTCACCTGTATCACTTAATTATTTAGAAATTAATATTTAACTGATTCTTTATGTGTAGATAACCATGATTTGGTATATAATTCAGATTCAAATAATCTCTTTTTTATCCCCTCAAAAATATTGTGTCTGTTTAATTTGTTCTATTCCCTGATCGGCAAAAGCATCATCATAATTTTAAAAGTTTTACTTACGTTCTTAAGGGCTCGTTTGGCACAAGAATAAGGAATAATTAATATCGGGACTAAATTTAAATAGAGTTTATCATATATTTGGTTTGAAGAAAATTATGGTATAATTAATTCCGGAATTGTGGTTTTTTTATCCCCATGAAAATGTGAAATAACTAATTTCGAGATAATTAATCATGGGATAACTTCTTTCCAACCAAACGACCCCTAAAGAACTTTATTTGTCTTAACAAACGTACCAACATCAAAACTTTTACATATATAAGTTGAAGGAGTGACTCAATCTAGCTAATAGCAAAGATCGATTTTATGATCCACACAAATATTTTTTTAGTTATATTACTTTTTTTTTAATTTTATACAGCGAAGCTTGAATCAATAAGAGAAAAAACTTTTAAAAATTATCGTATTAAAGTTGTCATGAAATTTATGGGCTATAAAAGCATATCACTAAATTCAAAATAAAAAATTTAAAGTTACATAATTTTTAAATATAAAAAAGTATCACTCTTTTAAAAATAAACTAATAAAAATAATATTTACAAAATTAAACAAAAGAGTACTATTTTTTGTAAAAAGAATAGGGTTTTTCGCGCGGAGGCATATTTATTGTTATAATATTGGTTCATCTGTACTCAATATTTGTGATGTTGAACATAAATTTAGTGTAAAAATTCGCTAAAATTATAAGATACAGCGGGTTGAAAATCATAACTTTAAAAATATAATAAGTTTAATACTAAAAACTTTAAAGATTAAACCCACGTAGTTTAAATCCTCCATGTAACTTAACAATTTCTAAACTTTGCTCATAGTGAAAGTTTATTATAAATGAGTTTAGAAGGAAAATGAAAGAAAATTCGAAAGTCTAAATATGACTGTAATCTGGTGTTTTTTTTAAAATTCAAAATATATATATATATATATATATATATACTGTAATCTAAGGCCACAAAAGAAAATTCGAAAGTCTAAATATGAAGGGCGGGGAATGGTTGCCGCGTACTTATTCTGAATATTGACCGAAGTGAGGGTCCCTTTTTATACAGCCGTCCAATTCTTTCCACTTTCTATAAAATTCCCCTACCATTTTCCCTCTTCCCAAACAACAAAGCTACCTACTCTTCGGCCTTCGCTATAAAATCTTCTAATTCAGAAAATCTTAACTACCCATTTAACCAAACAACATGAAGAAGAAATCAGCAGTATTAGCAGCATCTTTGGCAGCAGCTTCCATTTTCATCTCTGTTACTAATTCCACGTCTTCATCCAAAGTTCGAATTTCTCATAATCAGGTAAATTTCCCTTCTTCTCTTCTCCTTTTAGTTTTAGTCTTCATTCTCTTTAAATTTCCTCTTTTCTGTCATGTTTGGCATAACTTTATTACACTATATTTGTATATTAGAAGATACATAAATGTCCTTGTATTCGGGGGCGGAGCTAGCCGTCCGGTTGCGGGTTCGGTCGAACCCAATAGCTTTTGTGCAGAAATTGTATTTGTCATGTGAAATTCACGGAATACGTACAAATTATATTTTTAGAACTCAGAAACTTAAAAGAACTAGAATCTTAAACTAATAAATTTCAAATCCTAGCTCTACCTCTGAGTGTATTCACCGCCCGGCCCGGTTGTATAATTTCAGAAAAATATGTATTTATGCTAAGTTGACACTTAATTTCAAGAAATAGTAATGGGTGCAATGGTGCTTGATATTTTAGATCAGTATCTACTTATTTTCATTTTGCTTGCATTTTCATCTTTTCATTTCATTGAAGGGTGACAAATCCTTATTCTTTTTTTTAAACATTTTTTTAGGATAATAGTTGGAAGAAAAAGGATGAAAATTCTTCAACGCCTAAGACAGTGCAGCCATCATCAGATAAATTTGAACCGAGGTTTGATGGATTAAGGTTCATAGAAACTCTGGTCACCGCTCACAGATAATCTTAATTTCCGGCCAATTATTGAGTTTTGGCGGAAAACTATTTTTGACATATTGATAGGATATAAAAGAGAAAAAGAGAGAATTTGTGTAATACTCATTGTTTCCCTTTTTAATTCTTTGTCATTTTTTTCGGTATATTATGCCCAATTACCGAATTATGGGCTCTCTTAAAGAACTCTATTTTCTGGATTAATATTATAATTCAGAAGCAGAACGACAGGTTGACAGAAGAAAGTAGTTGTTTTCTTGTTATGGATCATTTGTGTGTGTGTGTGGTGGTGGTG